TGTATTTCCATAAGTGGGGTAAAACTATGGAATAATTTAAGTGTGGACATAAAAAATAGTAATAGAATTGACGAGTTTAAACATAAATATAAAGGTATGTGTCAATCAAGATATATGCAAGAACAGGATTAATGATTAATCAGGTGTAACATTGTGGGTGTGGTGTAAGAATGTTAACACTATGTAATAATTCTACTTGTGTGATGTAGAAGATAATTATCATAGTATGTAATTATGTAAGAATGTTAACAATTTGTAATAATTCTTTAGTATATCACTAGCGTGGTGTAGAACGTGGTGTATGTAGAGATACTGCTTGCAAACCAATGATGTAAGATGATGTCATGGGGTAGGACTAGATAAGTCTGACTTCTTCCTACTCCATTCAAGCATGTACTAGGTACAGTATAAGCAAATTGATAATGCATTTGTGGATATGTGTGAAATTATGTGTGTTGACATATTGACTGTCTTTACATGTTTGAAAGAATAAATCAAATCAAAAAAATCAAAAAACTTTCTCCTTGGGGATCACCTCTCTCCATCTCTGTATCTGTGCTATTTGTCTGTCTTTATTTGTGTACCTGGTTGTCTGACCGTCTGATCCACCTTTCTCTTATTTCTCTCCTCATATTTAAATTGATGCAAAGAGCAGGCTAATTTTGTGTGTAAAGTTGTCAGCTGTGGTTGCGTCACTTCTCAGTCTAATCACAATTACGTGTGTGTGTGTTTGTGTGTACAGTGTAGTAGCTCCCCACCTCCCAGGTCTCGCAGCGCCCCCAGCAGGCGTCAGTGGTGATGTGCAGGCCCCTGCAGCCAGGTTTCTTGGCCAGGAAGGTGAACTCCCGGACTGCACAGCCAGTGAAGCGCTGCAAGTTGATGGCCAAGGCCTGGTGGCGAGAGTCTGGCTGAAGACAGTTCCATAGCAGAAACCAGCACAACACCAGTCTGGGCCTCCTGGGGGAGGGATTAAGATTAAAAGAACATGGTCAGATTTAAAGAAAAGATGGACATAAATGAGAAAGAGGCAGCTTAAAGAAAGATTATTTTTCAGTGATATTCATCTTAGAGATGAAGGTATTAACTGGGATGGTGTTGCCAGTGATGGTGACATGGAGCAGGGCACTATGAATGTTTTAGGACAGGAATCATTTATATTTTGCAGCTTTCATAACAACACAATTCAAATGTTTTAAGTCAAATCATTGTGTTACATCAGCGAAGAAATCCTGCAGAGCTATAATCATTTTCAGTATTTAAAGTAAGAAATGTGTTGTAGATCATGTTAATTAGATTCTGACTGGTTGGACAAACTCCAGGGAAACGGACCCCAGCAGGACTTGATTTTGATTGGCTCCTATCTCTAAAGGCAGACTGCACCTGATACTCTTTAATAAGTCTTTAGCTGACTGGAATTTCCATCTTAACATTGACATTTGACTCCTCGAACTATAAAACCACAATCTGGACATCCCATAAATGGCCAAGAGCATCTAAGGACAATTAAACAGGGTCAGCTTCCTCAGAGCAGGAGGTCAGCAATACTCCAAAATATCTCTCCTAGTGTACCAGTCCCCAAAACTGGTTCCAGTCTGGTAAATGTGGCTGGATAAGTACAGTAAGTGAAACTTTGTGCTCAGGACAGTTTTCAACATGAAGTTGGCCTGTTCAGCGTTGTCATCAGGGCTGCTGTCAGTTAGAGGACTTCATTCAGTATCAGTACTCCACTTTGACTTTTAATGAAACAAATTTAATTAAACAAAAACTAGGGGGTCAGAAGTGTGACTCTCCTCATGGCACATGGTGTATTTAGATCAGATGACTCAAATCAGTGGCTGCTACCGACACCATTATGGGCAGAACTAAAGTAACTGTACTGAATGTGGTCTTCAAATCAAGTATGTCTGTTTCCTTCCTTTCCTAACAGGATCGCTGAGGTGGACCCCACCACAGACCTCAAATCCCAAAATGGTGTGTGCAGTAGTATGATGATACTGCTGTCTCTCAGCTAGACAGGTCTGCAATGTAAGAAACTGACAGGTTTTCAAGTATAACTCAAATCTGTAAACTAGAAGAACTTTACTGACAGACTCACTGTGCAGACTGTCGCTATTATTTATATGTTTACATTGCTGTGCCGTTTTTGAGAAACCATTCCTACTACAGGGTCAGCTCAGCAGCTGTTGTGGAGCTTCTGATCATTTTTCATAAAAAAATGTACATCACATTATAGTTCCAAACAGGACAAACTCCATCTGCCGATGAAGATCATGTGATTATATCACACGAAGCTGAAATTAGGGTGAGATTAGCTTTTAGGGCCAAGGAAGAACCTGAGCTGTTCTGTTGGAGTTTAGTGTACTGTACGTAACCCCAGTGTATCTGTATTGAAGAGATTATCCAAGTGAAATTAAATACATTGAAATAAGCTTTTTTTGTATTTACTCACCACTGTGTCTTCTTCCTTTGTAGTGTCATCTATAGTTCAGGTTGTTGCTGCCAGACCAGCAGCTGTTCTCACTGTTGTAGCCTGTCGGCCTGTAGTATCAGCTCTGGCGTTCCTCGGCAGTGTGGATCGCTAACACAGTACTTGTCACTGTATGTTCCCCAGACCTGAACCACCTGCTAATGGATCTGACAGTATAAGCAGGGGATTTTATCGTCCTGTGTCCTGCCAGTCAGCAGCTCCGGTCCTCCACTCAGTCTCCCTAAATCTCCTTCTACCTGTCGCTGCCCATCTAGTTAAGCCACCGTTTTGTTCCCACTCCATTAACTTGATTAGGCCTTTTGTTCGTAGTCATCCACATGGAAGAGGGGCAACAACCTACTCAAACACAGCCCCTACCTGTGTCTGAGCTCAATTAGCTGGCTCCATGGGCCGACCCTACTCCTGTTCTCACATGTCGACTGTGATGACTACACCCCTGAGCTCCAGCACTGCTGTTTGCCTCATTCTGCCATTTGCTCTCACTTTTCAATGTCTTTTTTAAAATTTTATTTTTGTTTCTAGTGACATTTCCACAGGACATTTCTTCACATGTTCAGTCTTTACTATATGGATCACTGACTTAAGACAGATGCTTGTTGGAGAATGCATCAGCCCTTGGAGGAGACTGACAGGAAAAGGAGAAAGGAGACAAGGAGATGTGAAGAAAGGGGATGAATTGATTTGGGTGAGTAAGTGCCTCATCAAGAAATTACCACTGTCAGAGGCCCTGAGGGCAGCGTGTGGAACCAGCGGAGCAGAGCTTCTCTCAAGTAGTTTGGGAAATGAATCTTTAAGTAAGTAAAGTTTGAGGTTGAGGCCAAGCAATTAAAGTTAGATTAGAGAATAGTGGAGAGGATGAGTCTGGGACAGGTTCTTCTCAGACGCCCGCTCCTCCTCCTCATCGTGAAAAAAAATTACCCATCCGGAGGCTATTATTGAACAATGTGCGTGGTGTGCAGTGGCAAAATGCATGTAATGGGCTGAGAATGGTGATCACAGTGAGGTTAATTGTTACCCAGCACAAAGGGCAGATTCCAACAATCCAGCTTTTGTGTAATTAGTTACAGATTCTTAATGAAAGTATTTTTTTTAGCTTCATTGTCTTGTCATGCTTAATTCATCTTCATTTAATCCAGCCTGACCAAAAGAAGCAACTAGGAGCCAATGCTGAGGCTAGCTTCTTGCCTAAAGGCAGTGGCAGGGAGACTCGTAATACTGCAAGCAATGTGCATGTATTTAAGTGAGAAAGGAAATCTGTGTAAGCGCAGTGAGAATACAGAGAACTCCAGTGATCATAGCAGTGGAAACCAGGATCTCGTTGGTGCGAGGAAACAAGGTCGACCAGGCACCCACTAAACCTGCAGATAGGTGACAAACAGCTTTCAGAGCAGTTCATCAATCCAGTCACTCCAGTACCGCTTGTTCGGAGCTGTTGGCAGTGTCACAGACTTCATCAAGGTGAAGTTTGAGGGTGTTCAAACATGAGCATTCTGGAACTTTTATGTCTAAATCTGTTTAAAAGCTTGACAGCTGATGAATTATCAAGATGATGAGGACCACTGTGTGATATTGTTTGATGCTCCACAACAAGCAAGTAAGCAAAAGTGGTCTGCATTGTACTCAAGAGTAAAGTGACTGCCTTCTGTTCTTAAATGTGTCTAATCTATTTGAATTAGTGTAGTTAACATGGAACTGAAAACACAGACACCGACTAAGATGTTACAGAGCATAAAGGTCATTAATGACAGTTCATCTTTGCTGGTGCAGGACTTCGTTGTGGGTTTTGCCTGCAGACATCAGCAGCTTGACAGTAACATGATGCTGTGCTGACCTCTGGTGCTCATTTGCAGTACTGATATTTTCCAGAGATCTGTGAGCACACTAGTCACTATGACATGAGATAAGACATTTCACATTATCCAAGCTGCAGCAGTAGTTCTTGCCTCGATGCTATTTTAACCACTTTTACATTGTCAGAAGTGTCCTCGTCGTCTGTCTCGATGGCATATTTTTAAGGTTTCAGTATATTTTTGTTTTTCATATATGTGGAAAGCTTTATTAACTAAAAAGCCAAGTGCTGATTTGCCTCAGCAGTAATGTTTTGTGTCAGTGCAGTTCTTGTCAGCAGCTAAACAGGACTGACCATAACTTTGGGTTTTAGCTACAGTAGCATTACCAGTGGAGCACTGTACCCTTAGCACCGCATTAACTCAGTCAGCTAAGTGACTAAGTCTACACAATAAGTTCAGGCTTTGCTTTGTGTCCACTAATAACTAGTCGAATAATAGCCTCGTTGCTTGTTTCTTAGTATATTATCTTCCCTACATTTCAGTCTATGAACTGATGAGATGAGACCAGAGCTGCACTCAGGTTCCAGGGTGACCTGACATGAGTTCCATTAATGGTAAATGGACTGTATTTTATATAGCGCTTTCTCACAGTGTGTTGCACTGGCCAAAGCTTTACAGGAGATCATACACCATTCACCCATTCACACACCAATGATGACAGGCTGCCACGCACCGACACTAGTCAAGCCACCGGGGGCAATTCAGGGTTCAGTGTCTTGCTCAGGGACACTTAGGCATGGGGGGAGACCGGGAGTCGAACCACCAACTTGCTGGTCAGGAGCCATTTAGTTTCCCTGTAGTACCCTGGTATGGCTCTGGCTCCTCTGGTGACAGTCCGACCATCCTGCAGCTCTGTGGGCTTCAGGTCTGTCAAGCTGGTCTTCAGGTTTCATCTCCACCAACTACAGGGCAAAATTTGTTCCTCCACACTGGAGATAAGTTTTGCCTGGACCTGCATCTACATCACTGCTTTGCTGCATGTAAGTACAAGCAACCTCTTGAATGTGTGTTTATCTGAAACTTAGAGTGATTACTTGTATCTGCAGATGTAAAGAATGCATTGGCTTTTGACTAAATGTTATTGCTGTCATCCCTTCTGATTCCTCTGCTTTGAGAGGCAAAGCTTATGAATGCTTTTAGACCTGCAGGGCAGTCTTTGTTATCTGCTTTGTCCAAAAGTCCTTTGGTCTTCCTCGAGGACTTGGTCTAGGGCTCTGCTGAACTGATCTGAGAGCAGCCATACACATGTTCCCTGCAGCTATTTTTGGGCCTGACAGCTTCACAACACTGACACTGTCTTTCATTCCTGCAGACAAGGGGAACACACTTTCTGGCATTTGAAGGCATACAGCACCATCTATATGTTTGAAAAACTAAATGGGTTGAAAATACATATTTTGTATTATGATGTACTAACAGACTGTTGTGTCCTTATAATGTGTATTACTCATAAATGCTCAAACATTTAAGTGCCAACAGAATAAATGCATGATGTCGTCATCATCATATACAGTATTTGTATAGATAATACATTTTCTTGTCATATTCATAGCATAACATAGTTTGGTACCATGTTTAAAATTGATTGACTTTGTGTTATGATGATTGTTTTGACAGGGATGTAATGAAGAGTGAACACACCTGAAAAGTGAGTTTTAGTTTTGGAGACGTGCAGAATAAGCACCTTTGGAAGCCGGACAGTGTCTGATTTTCAGACAGGTGGATTAAAGTTTGGTTCCTTAAAAAATGTTTTTGAGAATGTACAATTATGATATGAATTGGTAGTGAGGACAAAGTACAGTTTCTAAAAATGAGTACACTATGTTGTTTCATAGAATTAGTGTCATTGAACCGAGCTGGGAGCTGGGATCTTTGCACAAACTCGTTTGGATGGTGTTGTGGAAGGTGAGTTTTTTAGGAATGTGTTGTTTTGCAGCAGAACCTTTTGTTTCGACTTTAAATGCACCGGTCCCCTCTGTAACTGTTAACTTCTAATGGAAATAACTTTTAAACTTTGTGGAAAATGTGGGGTGGAGGGGCATCTGGGCTACCTCACTGAACCTGGTGCCACCATGACCTGATCTCGGATCAGTGGAAGAAAGTGGATGAATGGATGGAATAACTTTTTAGACATGACTGACCACTCAGTCATCCAGGTCATAGTAAACTGAAAAAACTTCTGAAAAAAAATCAACTGGACTAGATTTCTAGGTCGAAGACGTTTCACCAGGCTTCATCAGTTCATCAGTTCAGAACTGATGAAGCCTCTTGGATGAGAGGTGAAACGTCTTCGACCTAGAAATCTAGTCCAGTTGATTTTTCAGTTTTATTAGACCATGTCCTGTTTCCCAGATGTCGGTTTCAGAACACTGGACTCTGTTTGTTTATTTGTCTTCAGCTGTAGAATAATCTAGAGACAGTGCCTGGGTCACAGAGCCTGTTAAACCATTTCTGTCATGTGAATCCACATGTTCCCAGCAAATGGATAACACTGACACAACCCACTGTTATACAGGATCTTTGAAATGAGCTGGGAATCATCCTGGATTAGAAAGGCATAGTGGGACCTGGTCTGATTGGTGGCATACTGGGGACCTGGTGGTCTGAGCAGCCAGCTGACCTGGCCATTCAGGAAAAACTGGGTGGGGGCTGTGACCAGCACCTGCCTTTCTGCAAGTGCTGGGAAGTAACACTCAGCAGTTTTTCTTTGTTTTGTTTTTTTGCAGCATTAATCCAAAATATCTTCCTGTATTTTGTCTGTGATAATCTGCACTGCCATAGTTTTTAAGCTCTTATTTGTAGTTGTTTTTTTTTTTATGTAGGGCCCTAGGGACAAGGGTGTGACCTGGCATGAGGCATTAGTACCCGCTCTATATTCAGTGTTTCTTTGTTGCTATTAATGTTTATGTCAAAGGGAAATGATTGTGGCATTAAAACTCACCAAGCCAGGTCTCAGCGACTTGGGTGAGTATGTTAAAAATGACACTATGCTGAAAGCCTGCCTGCAGGTTATTTGTCTTAAATTGATCTCTGTGTTATGTTTTTAGTGAAAGAAACCAACTGCCTCTCCCCTGTGCTATTGTCATATCTGGGGTGTGTCTGTGAGCGCACTGTGTGACAGGTTCAGATTCGTTTTCACACACACAGTACAAATACGTGCTGGAAGTCATTTAGAGAGCTAATAGGTTCCATTGATGAGGAGGAGGAGGAGGAAGCACAGGAGCTGGGGGTTCAAACCTGAAGCTGCGAGGGAATGTGGTAGATGTGGTTTTCACAGGTGTTTGTTTACACCTGTTGTGCAAACTGGACATAGGCAGGGTTGTCCCAGTACCTCACATCAGTTCAGTTCCACCTGTGTTGTTTACATGTTCAGGCTGCATCCATTTCATTCTTCACTGTGCCAAGACAAATATTACATTTTGGTAACATACATTATTCTGTATTTTACTCAGTACAACAAAGTCAGTGTCAGCAATAAAATGGGCTAATTCAGAGCTGAATAAAAGGGCCAGGGTCTCTGTGGTGGCACGAGAAGCACATTACAGTGAATGAGGGACCCTGACTGTCTATTGTTGTGTTGTGTAAGTGGAGGACATCACTCCCCTGTTAAGGATCCTTTGCTTTGTGCTTCCCAGCATTTTACATCTACAATACATGCACGCTCACTCCTAATCCTTTTTATGAGTTAAAATCTTTTTGTTGCTCTGTCTTTTTTCTCTCCTCTTCACTTTATAGGTTAATCTCTCTCTTGATTCACTTGAGTCTTGAGTTCCTCTTGATCTCTCTTCCTCTGTTGTGTCTGTTCTTCCTCACTTGTTATTTTTTAACAGAGCTAAACTGCTTAGTAATTATCATTTTCATCTGTGGGTACCTCTACAAAGGTGGTACCTTTGACCTGATGGCAGATTCACTAAAAAGGAGAGTTGCTTTCATTTTCCTTACCAAGTGTGACTCATACAGCAGCGTTGTGCTCTGGTTAGAGGCCTGAATCCAAGTAACAAGCTTAAACTGGTTGTTTTTATTACAACAACGCTGTTTTGTTTTCATTAGCAGCACTTTCTTTTTCTTCCTGTTATGTGTCTCTCGTCCTCGCTTCCTGCCCCCCCCGTCAATCCCTGTTCACTCTCACTCCCCTGGTCACTTGTTCTGCAGCTGATGTGAAGCTTTGCGATTCCTCAGATGCCATGTTATAGTGGTTTAAACGTCCCCATCATGCACACATATACTTCTCAGTGTAGGTTTATTTCACTGTGTGTCCACGTGCCCATGTAAACATCCAGGGCAGTTGTGCATGTGTTAATAGCTGGAGCACTATTGTGTAGCTGTTGAACAGCACTGTGGTACAAACCTTGGACAAGCATGTGGAGGTGCATGGTTTGTTTTAGTGCACTTGAAGGCTGGATGCATCTTCACTGGTGGGCATATGATATCGCAAAGGGACCTCTGACATTCATCTTTGCACTTCTTTAATACTACTGGAAGTAATAGGTTGGTGGTGCTTGAAGTCAGTACAGCAAACATCAGGAAGTTGATTCAACATGATGCCATCTGATTAGTTTGGATGAGAGATGACCTGCTACTGTTTGACCTAATCTGACATTTGGTCTGATGTGTTAGTAAGGCCTAGTGTTGCTTCACACTTTATTTTAGTCTCACTCACCTGTCCAGCCTCCTGAACTGTCAATCATGTTTGTGATCAGCAGAGAAAGACATGCATGGCAAATCAAAGGCGCTGCTAGTTTTTTCACATTGTGATTTTAGGCAGGTGTGTTTGGAGAGTTGCCTAAATGTCACACATTTTTCTCAGCACACTTATTCATGTCTCAGGGCGAGATAGAACAAGACAAAATACAGCACAGCACCAAACCTGAGCGGACAGGACAGCGTTACAGTTGATAAACTCCCCACAGACTGTACTTTAGAAGTTGTTTCTGTTGAAGCTACATTTGTGTCTTTGAATGATGTGGCTGCCACATTCAGTCAGTTTTTGTACGTTTGTTTGTTTTTTTTTTACTCTTCCGCTGCCTCATGAAGCACTTTTGGCCTAAACAGCAGTAGTAAATGGTTTTATACTTGTGTATTGCAGCAAGCTCAAATTGTTTTCCCACTATTTGTCCGTTCACCCATTCGCCCTCACATCACTGGGGGCAAATGGGGGTTCATCATCTTGCTCAAGGTCACTTCTTCATTTGGACCGGAGAAGCTGGGAATTGAACTGCCAGCCTCCTAGTTAGGAGACGCCCCATGCTACCTCCTGAGCCACAGCCACCCCTAAACAGTGAAGGCATAGAAAGCTAAACGCTGCTACCTGTGTGCCAAGAGGGTTTCCAACTAGAGATCAGGCTTCTCAGTGTTTCCACACAACGAGTCAGGTGTGACTAGATTTTGATGAAGGTTTAGGCTAAACTTGACCTCAAGCTCCATGTTCCCTGCACACAATCTAGACTGCCACTGGATATCAAACCTTTAGCCATGCAGATAGCGTTGTCCTTTCCTTTTTAAGCTGCACTACACCGGACCGCACTAACACTGATGTAACCTTTACTCTGTTTTCCAGAGCAGTGCCATGCTTCCAGGAGGCTGTGGGTGAGAAAGCATGTCGTCAGACTACTACTGTGGAGATGATCTGGTGGAGCGGGGGTCCATCCCCCTGGACATCGACAACGTCCACATGCTACTGCAGGGTCAGTCTCGCTCCATCTGGAGAAAACGTGTGTCACACACATTAGACTTTTTGTGGCCGGGTGGTTTTACTGTCCTGTCTTTATGTTTGTTTTCGGGTTGTCCGTCCAGCCCGTTCTTGTGAGTGTGATATATTTCTTTACATTTGGCACAAGTGTCCACTGGGACTCAAGGATCAACTGATTAGATTTTGGTGGTCTATGGTCACAGTGACCACGTGTCTGTCACATTCCCATGACGTTGACTGGTTGGGAGAGCTTTACAACTGTGAGGTGGCAATTCTAGGTAGATTTGTTTTTTATTTTCAACATTATTTTTGTGGGTGAAAGTTCAGAAGAGGTATTTTTTGTGGTGTTACTTGGTCTCTGTTTCAGGTGATTGTAGCTGCCCTGGTGCATTTGTAGGTCAGTGATTTAATTCAACAAGCTGAACTCAGTGACGGCTTATTGTTCGTGGCCTCTGCTCACACTGGGAGGAAGTGTAAAAAGAAATGTCTTGATTTCATTGTTTTAGCTCGGTTACTGTGGCAACTAAATAACTATTATGCCTCAGTTATGTGTCCAGATCAGGGGGACAGTTTGTCCACTGCTGAAAACTGAAGCCCTGCTCTCAGAGAGACATGTATAAGCCTCTATTTCTCTATGAAGCCTCTTCCGGCTCTTTTAAACCAGGAACTCACAATAAGACGAAGTAGACTGCTTTAGATTTTATAAAAAATAACCGTGCTGGTTTATTCAGAGGATCACAGGTAAAATTAACATTACACGTCCAGATCTCTCTCACCATCCACCTGCGCGCAGGCAGCTTGGAAAGATGATCCGAGCCTGGACCAAGAAACCTATATAATCTTAATCATTTTGGGCTAGCCCATGCTACGCAGGGCGTCAAACCGTGACGTCACCTGATATGCCAGCCTGCAGCTGACTATAACGTTAGCCAAAACATGAGGAAAAGTCAAGGTGTGTGGCTGTTGTTTTCGTGGTGTGTATCTAAAACAATTTGACATAACATTACACAATAAGACAAATATTAAGACTAGCATTACAGTTAATACCAACAGCTCTTTGCCTGCAACCTTGGCCTACTTGCAGTCTGCACTGCAAGCACATTACTGAACAGTTACCAGCCTGAGCTAGTCAATCTGTCTCCACTAACCATTTCTCTAACAAATCTCTAAATATCTATCTAACTAAGAAATAACCTAACACATGCTTTTCATTATTATTATCATTATTTATCATCATATTTATGACCTCTATTGTTAACAGTTCTCTGCCCACCAGCTTGTTAAATACTAGTGGGAAAGTCTTTCTGTCTGTGTATAATAGAAATAGTAATGATGAAAGAGTGCTCCTAAAAATAGCTTATGTTGGGTGTGTTCAGTGTTTGTATCAGTAGAACAGATACTTCTTTATACACAGTACTGTACATGTAATCTGGTTTCATTATGAGGCTTATTAACTGCATCAGAACAGATAGAAGGTCCAAAGTGATGATCATTTCATGTTGACGAGATGACCATAATCCTGCTTGAAATACGTTTTTATTATCTTATCACGTTATTCTAATAACAGTACCAATCTTCATCACCACTTCTCCATGAGGTGACTGACGATGTGTAAATACAGCTACAGTTTAAGAGAAGAATCGTGGTCTGTCCACCTGATCCAAGCACAGCAAACACAAGTCTAAACTGACTCGCCAAAGAGTACAAGTTTAAGAGAAGAATCGTGGTCTGTCCACATGATCCAAGCACAGCAAACACAAGTGTAAACTGACTTGCCAAAGAGTACAATGATTATTGTGGACATATTAAAAATGGCAACTAAATCAGCTTTATATGAAGTTTAAAAAAAAAAAGAACAGTGTTGAAGCAGAGCTGATTCATTGAGATGCTGTGTAGCTTTAACTCTGGCCACAGGGATACCATGGAAGTATGAAGGAGCTGTGGCTGAGATGTGCATTGAGTTGCTGGCTTTATGGGGACAATGGAGAATGAGGACTGGATTATATGTGAGGCTCTTCATACAGTCACTGACCTGAATGACTTCGTTGAGCTTTACACTGGTGTGTGATAGTCAGTGACCAAACCTCTTGTGACTTACACTGGTCTTTAATGCTGAAACTTCTCTGTAGCCTGTTTATTGTACTTGTAAAGCAGTTTGTGAAAATATAATGCACAAATTCCTTCGATGGTAATAAACAAATGATGTCCGAAATGGAAATGACCGAAACTCTACTTCTCTGATTATTTGAAAATATATGCAGGGTTGGTTTTTTTTATTGTTGGCTTCTTGGTTGTGTTTTCATAAGAAACTTGTTGCTCTGTTTGCAGTTTCCCTCTTTTTCCAGTCTTCGTTTATGATGAGCCATGCAGGTGTGAGGGTGGCACCGATCTTCTCATCTACACTAAATCTTAGCACGAAAACAAATAAGAAAATTTCCCAAAATGTTGAACCACTGCTTTAAAGTTAAGCAACGATTAAGATTATGTGTATAAGGAACTGGCATTGATTTAAAGAAGTGAGACGTGATCTTTGGTTCCTGCTGTCAGAGTTTGAGGTAGTTTTCTCTAATAACATTTCTGTTATTAGCCTGAACAGGAGAATGTCTGCTTTGATCACACCGCCTACAGTTGACTGCTCTCTTATCCAAGGTGACACAGTCTCTAATAATGTTAGCTCGCTAGGAAACTGAAACTGTTGCACTCAGTATAAATGGTTTGTGTATAGCATCATGATCTTAAATCCTGCAATTTAAATGTGCAAAGTGCATGTAAAGTTAATCTTGACACCGAGTATTTCTTCTTTTTCAATAGTTGAACAAGAACAGATTCAGAAGCGGACCTTCACTAACTGGGTCAATGCTCAGCTGGCAAAGGTGGGTTGTGTCTCTGAACTCTGACCTCAGTCAGACTGAGGTGACGGAGTGATTTAAGGTGGTTTGTTACTGTTTGCCACACTGGATAAAAGTATTAAGAAAGGTTTTGAAGGATCAGGCTACAGTAGTTTACCGAATATACAAACTTATACTCTGTTCTTACTGCAGGCATTAGTATCTTCGCAGTGAGTCTACTGATCATTAACACACCATTAGCTTGGTCGCATTGTAAATGCAGGGCTGAAACAGAAGTGCTTACCATAGCAAAACTATCATGTTTCTGTCTTATAGGATTTTTTTGCAAATGAGACTTTTTACTCCTCATTGTCCCTTATAGCATACACTTAGCTGTATCTATATAGTCTCCATTACTACTGAAATAGTTCAGTTTTCCCTCAGGGATAAGGTTGGTGCAGCTTAATAAAAATGCAGGAACGTAGGAGCATGTAAGGGCGTGACATGATTGATCACCTGCTGTACTCACATTTACCCCCATATTCCCTTAAAATATAAAATGGTTCTGTAATTAAATGGTTTATAAAACACCTTTTGGGCTGCTCACTGCCTAAAGCAACTGACCTCATGGAGCAAAGCAAACTAAAATAAATGCACGAGGCTTGTGATGCTTCATGAGAGATCTCAGACCCTATAAAACACAACTAGATCCTACATTTAATTATCATTACAGGGGTTGTCCCAGTCAGGAGCTCGTGTTTACAGAAATCCAACAAGGTCTGAATTTGGCACAAGGCAGCATTGTTGCAAAAGGTCACTGTCTTGTTTTCAAACTACCTCCTGCCTCATGTTGGAGGTCAGCTGTGAATATGACAGTGGGGCGGGGGTGGGGAACTGTGTATGTAAATATAGAACTGTGGGGCAAGGTTCACAGCACAAAGACAGACAGGAACAGTCGGCCACCGCCCTCCCCTTCCCCTCACCACCTCCCACCAGCCACACCTCTTCAAACCACCCACCCACTCAGTGTTGGCCTTGAGTGGGAACGCTGCCAGAAAACTGAATGGTGGAGATCACTGTTAATCCTTTGGTGTTTGTTCACATTAGGGCTCATGTTACAAAGCACATGGTGTCACATATGGATTGATTTCTTTTTGGAATGTTGTGTGTCCACTTTGGAAGTGTGCAGCAGCTTTTTACTTTTTTGCATTTATAGTGACGCAGTTATATCTGTGACCTGCTAAAACCTGGTAACCTCTGGGCCGATGTAGCCGTAATGAATACATGCTGCTCTGTTACTGGGCCATGAAAGGAAAACTAGAACAGTGCACAAAGTAGAGAAAGAGCTACAGTTAAATTATAACAAGTACAATTGACAAAAAGAGTGTGAATATTGTCACAGAAGGAACATTTGTTTACACCAGGCTGTAAACAGCTTTCTGATTGGTGGTTCAGACCTGGGCCAGAGAGACTCTGTGTAGTTACGGTCACATGTGAGTCTTGTATGTGCATGTTGTTTATTGCTGCTTCATCTATGGCCTGTCAGATGGTAGTCAAACTAAAATAGTCATCCGTATCAGGAGAAGATTTCAAAAGGCTGCCAAAATGTCAGCTTCTCTGAGACAAACAGGCCTTTTTAGCTTTAACACCACATGTTAAGCTTTAACTAATTAGTTTTGTTTGGATACCACAAGGAACAAGTCGTCTTTTAGCTCAAGCTACAAAAACAAAATTCCAAAGCTGATTTTCTGGCAGTTGCATTATGTTGCAGAAAAACACTTTGTAAAACTACTACAAAGTTCTTACATCATAACTTTTGCTACATAATATAAAGAGAATATAGGAATGTTTTTATTGTTTACTGCGTTCTTGTAAGGATGGCGTATTTTACAAAAACTAGAACATTCAACAACTGTAACCAAATATAGAGAAGACGTCCACATGTTGCCTTGATACAGGTACAGCTCTCAGTCTCAGTGCCTTGACAGCTACAAGTGTAAATGTGAATAAAAGGAAAGACAGTGCGTCTGTGTGTGTTGTGACAGCGGAGGCCACCGTGTATGGTCGTGGATCTGTTCAATGACTTCCGTGATGGCTCCAAACTGCTGGACCTGCTGGAGGTGATGAGCAGCCAGCGCATCGTGAGTTCTTTTTCTACTCAGCCTTTAACTTGTTTTCCAGTCGTAATGTGCCAGGAGTCTGATTGTCTGGTTGTGTTTTGCAGAGTCGGGAGCGAGGCAGGGGAATGTTTCAGCACAGAAGCAACATTGAGAAAGCCCTCTCGTTTCTGAAGAAGAAATCGGTAAATGTCACGTTAAAGGGGCCCTCTGACTGTCGACCCAGAATTTGTGGAAGTCTGAAATATTTTCCTGTTTTCTCCGCAGATCAAACTGGTCAACATAAACATTCCTGACATCACTGATGGAAAGCCGTCCATCATCCTGGGCCTCATATGGACAATCATCCTACAGTATCATGTCAGTTTAACGTTTCGTTTGTTTTATTCCATTGCTTGTTAATTTTTCATTTTTCTATCTCTGCTGTCCTTCTCACTTCAACGCATCACTACAGCTGTCAGATAGAAAGCTTGTATTGTTTATCACTTAGCTTCTGTCTCAGAAATATAGACCAGTTTGAAACCAGTTTGAGCCAGGTCCAATTTACACAACGAAGGAAACCTAATGTAATGCTAACAATTAGCCCAGTTTATTGAATATATCTTTTATTAGCCAGTGATGGTTCCTTATCTTTCTGGAGTGTTAAGCCTTTTAGTTTTTTCATTGATAGCGGTTTCCTGGGCCCTTTCTTCTTTTCTTTATTGTCCCGTTTTAAATCGTTTTCATTGCTTTACATCAGTATAAACACCTCAAATGATAAACAGTGTGTTGGTGGTTCTCTTAGATCGAGGAGTTGGCCAGTGGCCTATCATTCGACTCACGTCAGTCCTCCATGGAGTCTCTGAACAGCCTGGACTCACGCTCCACCCTGTCAAGCCGGTCAGCCAGCAGCAGTCCGCTTCCTCCCAGAGGCTCACCGCTGCACCACCGCTTCAGGGTTTCTGCCAAGAAGGCCCTGCTTCTCTGGGTCCGGGAGCAGTGCCACAGGTAAGCACTCAGTCATCTAAATGGCAAAGATGCATCGGTGTTGCCAAGCCAATAATAGTCCTCTAATAAGGACACTTGAACATGTGGACCGGAGAAGCCGGGACTCAAACCATCAACCCTCGGGTTAAAAGATGACCTACTCTACCTCCTGAGCCACAGTTGCCCGTGTGTGCCCACCACATTGCTTTGTGCACTAGGCCTGCAATATGAATTACCTATGAATTACAACAGTAATAAAATGACTTGTTTCCATCAGAGCTGGCTGCACAATAAATGTGAAGGACTTCAAAGCAAGCTGGAGGAGTGGAGTTGTCTTCCTGGCGATCCTGTACGCTCTGCGGCCCGACCTGGTGGATCTGTCTGAAGCCAGAACCAGAAGCAACAAACAGAACCTGGAGGAGGCCTTCTGCATTGCAGAGAAAGAGCTGAGGATCCCCAGACTGCTGGAGCCTGATGGTGAGTAACTGAACTGTATTACCTTCAGCCAGTTCACAAACTACATGACCATACAGAAGCAGGAACACATTCTATATGACAAAGGTGCATGGATACTGGAAAGTCACCTGTATAAACAGGTGACAGTAAATTTCCATAAAAATATTTTATATTAATTGCTCGTTCTGTTAGAAGTTACATAACAGTGTGAGGCTAGCTCATTGTTAACATGCCCTAACAGATATAAGTCCATATAGATGTATTACAGGAATATTATACAAGGCTTGAAATAACAGTGTGAAGTAATTCTCAATTTGTTGTATTTTAATGTGGTATTACTTGTTCCCACTCTGTTCAGTCATAAAATGCACTACTCACTGCACTCATGGCAAAGGCAAAAAAAAAAAAAAAAACTCAAACTCTGCAGTGTGGGAGACACATTTCTGTTCAGACTGGTTCTTCTCTGGGTAAATAGAGCTTGATATAATGTTATATTGACATTATAAAGCAGTGATGAGCCATCCTGCTGCCCATTATTTGTAGCCCCACCTTTGCAGTCTTGATACACACTGTATTCCCGTGTCCTTCCATCACCCATACCGTCCCATTTCACCCTATGTGCATTTTAACACATTTCGTAAACATGACAAAACATATCAACATAATTTGGGATTTTTTTTTGGACTGGCAAATAAGAGTCAGTTCATTTTCATTTCAGGCTGTAGCTATAAAATATCACAAGGGTCAACTGCTTTCTGCACAGGAACGCATCAGATTCATGCTGATGCAAAAATATTCTGTCAGACTCACACAGATTGGCCATGTGCTTAATTTTTAATTGATTAGCTTGTCTTCTGCTCTGCGTTCTACAGTTAAACTTGGTTTCATGAATGCTCTCTTTTATCCATGTTTACTCCATAGTGCATCCTCTGTGCCCTCTGGTCTGCTACGGACACTCAAACACTCTTGTCTAAATAGGACTCTTCTTGCCAAAAATTGGATTTTTCTTGCCAAACAACTTGTATCACAGCAATTAATGTGGCGCACTGTGACTCTTTGTGAAAGTGTGGCGAACGTAGCCTAGTACTGGAACTGAGCCATACCCGATGAGCCTGAGGGCAAGTGGGATGACGTTCTGGCAGTCTGCTGACTCTCTCGCTGCTTGTTTGCCTCAGTCGTAGGTGAAACCCTCACTTGTTTCACTCTGCTCTGCCTGTTAAGTTTATTAGCAGGCCTTAGAGATTTAAAGACAGAAGAGCTACACCTCCATTCCTCAGATTCCAGTATGAAACTCCACCTGCTTCAGGTTGTTTATGTCTTAGTCTAAAGCTTTGACAGTGCAGTGTGAGGCTAATCATGGAGGACCTTGATGTCGATGCAGATGTGGACGTTCGAGACCCTGATGAGAAGTCCATCATAACCTATGTGGCTCAGTTCCTGCAGTACTCCAGAGACCTCCCCGTGCCAGAGGAAGAAATGCAGGTCTGTATCACTGTATCTTGTTCTACACAACAATTAAGCAACAGGGTGAACCAGCTGACACGGTAGCAGTGTTTGCAGGAATGTTTCCATGTCGGGTAGCTACTAGTTCTGACAACCAGCTGAGGCAGAGTTTAGGATTGTGCTCAAGGTGCTTTCAGCTCTTTAACGACTGCGGTGCACTGTCACCAGAGTGAGGATGTGGCTCGGCTCAGCTCTGTCGGTGCTCAGTGCACGTTGGCATGTTGATTTGCATGCCAAAAAAAATAAATCTAGGTGGAAAAAGTTTTTCCATGCCTGAGTTGCACAAAAAGGTAGTTTCAACAACATCTAGATGACTTTACTTATGTGTAATAGGTTCAAACTACACTTTGGATTGAAGTCAGTCATGGTCTGTTGAAACATCTTTATATGCATCTAGATATCATATAAAAGTTTTATATTTCAACCTAATTTTACCCATTTGAACCAGGCTGTCTACTGTAGCTAAGTGTGACCTGCACATCTGTGCTCTAAGCATGTTTGCAGAGTTCTGACTGATGACTCTGCACTTTTGCCAAAGTCAATATTTGAGTGTAAAGATGGACGCACACTGTATGTGATGTGTATGTACACACATGTTGCGGAGGAATCCTCATAGATATAAACCAGAGGGAGGGTTTTTGCCCACCAGACTCCACACTATGGTCTGCTGAGATGTGATGCATCTCTGTGCTATCATCACACTGCCGTCTGCAGTGTGATGATAGCACAGTTTCTTACCTCAGGTGCATTTTTCTGTCATTTCTAATATATGCAGATTCAGATTTATCGGTGAGAGATTGGTATCAGCTTCCAGTAATTCAGCCAGACTTGAGAATGTTTTTGGAAATTGCTGTGAAACAAGTTGCAGCCCGCAGAGCACATTTGGTAAAACTGTTGCATATTTGCAAATTGTTATATTTTAGCTGTATCTAAGTTAAATTAGTTAAAATAAGTAAAATGTTATGTACATGTTAAAAAGTAGTGCATGTCTCAGTTTTTGCCAGTGTGTGTACGTTGCCCCTCAGTCATTTGCCACAGTTCCTTTTTGCTTGGGATTTGACTATTTTCTTAGTATTCTTTTGTCATTCTCTCCTCTCATATTTCTTTCCTGCCCTTCTTCCTCCTAGACACAGTATCTGACTCCTGCTAAAAGCCCTTCTCCTGTCAGCCTCCCTGTTCACTACACTCCTCTGCGGCGGGTAGCCCCGCCTGTCACAACCCGCCACTGCTTCATCCCCTAATTTATTTACCTCAATTCTCTGAAGTTACCTCAGACTAAATAATAATGGTTGTTTAGTAAACAAACTATACTATATTAACTATACTAAACTACTGAATAAGAAAGGAAATGAATGTATAATTGAACTACTTAATAAAGACAATAAAACAATCAGTAATGTTTATGTATGCTAAAGAAAGAGAAGGAAGAAAGAAACTGTTTTATAATAATATGAAGGATATATAAATATACAAAAAAACAAAAGAGCAGAGTCACGGGTTGGAAAACAAACCCTGATTTCTAAATGTTTATCGGACTCTGCTTTACCTCCGACAGTGCCACACCCCCCTGTCAGTGATTTCTCTGTGTGTGGAGAGCCTCTGGTTGCTGGTTTGCAGTTGACAACCTTGGTACTACTGTTTCATATGGAGCAAATCAGCCATAACCAACCTCCACAGCACCAATAAATAAGTTTAGATTTTGTTGCAGATGACTGTATTTTGTAAAGACACACCAGGGAAGTTGTTCATTGGAATAACGCTGCGTCTGCTTTTAAAACTATGTTGCTTAAAACCAAGGTTACCTTCTGGTCACATGATGGTTCAAAACAGGACTGATCATGCAGAATCAAACTAGTTTGCCCTGTTCTCTGGGAAGAAATCCAAAGCCACGGAGAGGGTGTGTTTCCCAGCCTCCTATGAGATGAGTAAAACCCCTACGGGCTGAGTCTACAGCACAGCAATCACTTCCACTTATGACAGATGAGTCTGTGGACAAAATGCCGGCCAGCTTGGGTTCCTGACAAGATATCAGCATGTTCATATGTAGCTGCTCTTTAATCCACACTCTGTTGTTACTTTACCCCCAAGAGGTGCCATTTATCCTGCAGTGTTTGTGCAAGATACACTGCAGGAGGACAGCACAGAACCTGGAATTTTGTAAAATGGCGAGTTTTGTTCAAATATGAGAAACGTCTAAAACATTAAGAATATCTTGTTCTAAATAATGCACAAAATTTAAAAATGCTACTACACATAAGTAACAAAATCCCCGTTTGCAGGAGAAGATAAGGGGAATAAAGGTGTTTGCTGTACGTGTTGCAGTGTTCTTTTGATTAAAAAAACAACTCTGTCATCAAAACAGAGTTTCATATGGGCTTGCTCTGCTGCTGTGCACAGACTCGCTTTAATTACAAGAAATTCTAGCAACCCACATGCTGTCCTGTTTTGTGTACAGTCTCTCATGTTGGTGCCTTGTGGGAGTGAGTTATGCTTAACTCATTTGGTTTATCGCCTAACGTTAGTCCTACCAAAGTAGAACAGCTCCTCTCTGCAGCTGTCCTTCAACCTTTAGTTGCCTCCTGTTCTGGCTTCCACTGGTTACTGTCCATTCCATTGTCATGTGATGCAGATAAACAAAGAAAAGTTATTTTAGGTTTTAATGTTTGGGTATAAAGTTGTGGTCTGGTTTGTTTTAGTTATCATAAATGATAAAGTACAGCCACTGTCAGCGTCTTTGGGCTTCCTGTAAGCCGCCTGCACAATTAGACAGTGTTTAGCTGTGGTTTCCCCTCTGTTTTGACCTGTGCAGACAAGATCGCCAAATGAAACTATATCACTGATCCTGATTAAGATGTGTTTGATCATTTACAGTCAGTAACTGGTTTTTGCTTTTCATGTTACAAGGTGACACCTGATCGCAAGGCACAGGAAGTGACGTGCTGGTTGGTGCAGGCCTACAACGAGCTGCTGGAGGGATGGGACTCCACAGAGGGGGAAAGCTATTCACAGAGATACCATGTACGTTTCTGGCTCCATCAAGATGTGTTGGGCCACAACCTTACGTTGTGTGTATCACTGCATGTCTCATGAACTGAGGTGCATTGGTATTGTGTTACTAAGAGGCCTGTGATCCAAGTTGACAGCCTCTGTCAAATGCTGATTTTTTGAACATTCTATAAATACTGTTGTTTAACAGTACAAAACAAAGTTCAGGTGAATGTTCAGCAAAAAAAGTGGATTTACTCTTTTTGTTTTTTAGTTGACCTCACAAGAGTGACACTAAATGTGACATTATCTGTCCCTCAGGTATTTCAGACTTTTCTGGTGTCCTTTAATGAGCAGCGGAGTCCCATCATACCTTTGCTAACGGCAATGAGACGAAGCCCAAATCTGAGCGAAGAGCAACGGGCTCTCAGAGAGGCATGGGATGCCCTCATCGGAAAGGTCAGTTCCAATCAAATCTACCCAAACCTGTAAACTACTGTATTGCTGTTACTGTTTGATATTGATGCATTTTAAGTTCTTAATGTGCTTTAGGTGTGCTAGTTTGTGGTTGAGAGAAATTGTTTGTCACTCTCTCTACATCTCTATTTCTAATTTAGCTTCGTGAATACAAACTGGAGTTGGATACGAGTCTTCCAGCCCCCTTGGATACGGTGGCCTGCTGGCTGCTGAGAGCAGAGGGGGCTCGGGCTGAGGAGGACGGCGAGCCTCAGGACCATGGCCGTGCTGCTGACGAAGCCAGGGAGAAACAGAAGCTGCTCAAAGTGAATATTTACTGCAGCTGAGCCTTAAACTTTCAGAAGTGAAATAAAACTGATACTGACTGAACAAATGCAGACTCCTTGGGCAGGGTTTTCTATGTTGAACATAAAACTAAAAAGCTCCATCTGCTAGTTTACTGTTCTGACAAAGTGTTGACATGCTCTCTTCTCCTACTCTACTTTGGGAGGTGTTGATATGTAGACTCTTGTGAGCATATAAATGAGCTTGTGAACGTGCTCACTGCTGAGTATTGCTCTAGGTTTGCCTGGATGAGATGCCGCAGCAGCTGAAAACCTTCCAGTCCTTCCAGAACTCAGATGAGTATGGTAACATGATGG